CGAAACCCCTAAACCCTATTTGGGAAACCCCCATATGTCCCCCTTTCAGGATGCGACTGAGAGCTGGCCAGCCACGGCATGTCGACGGCTCCGAGAAAGAGCAGCACAGCCTGGGCCTCGGAGATGGGTTTCGATGGGTTGTAGAGGTTATGTGGTACAGTTGGGTACTTAGGGGTATAGGGTATATAGGGGTATATCAGGGATATATAGGGATATATAGGNNGGGATATATAGGGTTTTGGGTTTAGGGCTTAGTGGTTTAGGGTGTATGAGAATTGGGGCTTAGGGTGTAGGGTGCAGGTTTATAGGGTTTAAGGGTGTAGGGTTTATGGGGTTGAGGGTTTAAGGTTGAGGGTTTAGGGTCTGGGGCTCGGGGTCCATGGTTCAGGCAGCGATGACGTGATGATGCGTGCAATTTGCAGTTATCAAGTTCTGTCTCCTGCATGGCATGCAGACGTCCGGTCATGGGTCATTTCGCGCCACTGTCGATTGCTTCCTGTCGATTGCTGCCACTGCAGACCATTAACGTACAACATCAACATGATCAACATGGTCAAAACGAACACTACGGGGCTCCCCGTTTATTCCAGCATTTCAAGCATTTCAGCGTCCCAGGACCTACAGGCCTTCTTTGTTTGTTGCCATGCTGCGCCTGAGCCAGCTGCGACGCTGTGACCTCTACAATGCCTTGGGCGTGCGCCCGGGCGCGTCGCAGAATGAGCTCCGCGAAGCATACCTGCGTCGGGCCAAGCAATATCATCCGGATGTGCCTCGATCCTGAAATTTGCTGTCAAGCTTTCTCAAAATATCTTCGGGGATCTCGGTATTGAGGCATGCTTCAAACAGTGTACAGGCCAAACCATAGTCCCCGGACGCGCGGCTCATCTTGTGATAGTGGCTTGCTGAGGTTTCTGGCTCCGGCTGTGCCAGTTTCCAGCGTGTGCAACAAGCTTGGGAGACCCTCCGCGATCCGGCGCAAAGGAGGATCTATGACAATGGCCTGCCAAAGACTGCAGGCCGGAGTGCATTTTTCTTGCTGCGCAAACCATGCTTTGTGTGGTAGACCCCAATGTAAGCCCTGAGCTCCAAATACTGGCTTTCGTGGTTGGGTTTGCCCGGTCCTCCAGCTGATGGGACGTTTCTTCCTTCATTGATGGCGTGCCAGTGGCCTCTAGGAGTTTGAAGCAGCGTGCAGCGTAGCTAGAGGTATAGCGGGAGTTTGAACCTTGACCCTTAATAACAAACCTTCACCCCACGGTCCATTTTCTTGATCTCTTCCATTTATTGTCTCATCTGATTCCTCCTTGGTAATATGGTAGTTTCCCAAAATAAGGGGACCCCAATATAGACCCTAAAATACTATAATCCTTATTATGGGGACCCCCAAAAAGGGTACCCCCAATTTTGGGAAACCCCTATACCTATAAACCCCTATATAACCCCAGTTCTCATTTTCCATTTTCTTTTCCATTTGATTCTCCATTATTGGGGGTAGTAGGTACCCTAAACCCTAAAACCCCCTAATGGTATATAAACCTTAAACCTTAAACCCTAAACCCTAAACCCTAAACGATTAATATCCGTGTATATCTGCGGACTGTCTCTTGCTGGAGGCGGCGCGGCTCCCCACCCCAGCCCGTCAAGCCAGCGAAACGGTTGCCCGCCTCAGGTCTGCCTGGGATACAGTCCCCCTTGAGTAGATAGAATATGGTTTTGGGTATATTATAATAAGATCCCCATATAACCCATATTCTATCTACTTAAGGGGGACAGCTCTTATAAGGATGGTAATTCGGTGGAATTGTATTATGGAAGGTATAGAATGCAGGTTATGCAAGGATTATACTGTAGGAGGTATATTGCGACTTTATGCAGCCAACAGTAGAGCCTGCCATGTGCGTCACTCCACCCTGAACGCTCCATGCAACAGTATCTTCCAGGACCTAGTGAAGCTCGTGCCGGGTTATGGGTCATCTTTCTCGTGCTTGAGGTGAGTCAGGAATTCTTAGAGGAAAATATATGGGGATACACTCTCCAAAAGTAATCCCTGAATAATCCACATGCCATATCTCTGTTATGGCAATAGTACTTCTAATATTCACTGCCGGACTCTCCAGCCGGTCATAGTGTCATAGTCATTGTGCATAAGGCTTTGCTTGATGGTGCCACGACCCGCCAAACACCTCTTGAGGATTTCCGTGCACTCAGTAGTAGTACATAAAGATACAGAACGCGCAATAAATTAACAACACCAAAGATAGTAATACCAGTAGGAACAAGAACAACGAGGGTCCATGATACTTGCACTAGAACTGCATAGCAAGAAGCAGAGCACATGGGGAATCCCCGTTTCCATGCAAGAGCTTTCAGGCTATGCTGGCTTCAACGGACACACTGGCTTCAACGGCCACGCAGGCAGCACGGGAAAGCGCCATTGGTATGAGGACCTGAAAGCCTCCCATGAAGCTCGCCACAGAAAGGAGCCTAATGCAGAAACAGGGTGCCAGTTTCTGTCCCTTGCCAGACTGACCACACAACCTCTGAGTTTTTGTTGCCATTGTCTGATGCGTTCCAAGAAGGAAATAATGTATGCTTAGGGTGATGTCCCTCTGGGGGTGGTTGCATTTAGTTATTGCTGCTCGGGTTCATGAGGCTTTCACTAGTAGAAATTTGCTCAAAGCTAAGCCCTCAACACATATTTCAAGAAGCAGCCGCGCTGTGTTGTCCCATATCCAAGGCTTCTCAAGACAAAACATCTTCCCCAAACCATCCCATCTAATCCCATGTAGTCCTTCAGGAGACCCCATATGATTCACCATATTCATACCCTAAACCCTAAACCCTTAACCCTAAACTCTAAACCCTAAACCCTAAACCCTAAACCCTAATCCCTAAACCCTAAACCCTAAACCCTACATGTACCAGGAGGATGCCTCTCGAAGTAGCCCCGGCGCCAGGTTTCACACGGCACATGGCGAGACTGGGCTATTCATGGGGAACGTTTTTGAGATAGTATAGGGTTTAGGGTTTAGGGTTTAGGGTTTTTTGAGATATTATGGACCATAATCCCTACACATTCCCTACATGTTCCATATACATTCCCCCATAATGTATTCCCTAATAGATTCCCTACATATTCCTTACATGTACCCTATATATTCCCTACATAGTTCCTATATATTCCCTATAACGCCACAAGATTTTTTCAGAGCCCCTAGATCTATCCCAGGACAGGCTGCGGATGCAAGCGCAGCAGTTTGAGAAGGCCAGGGAGAGCCAGGAACTTCCATAAACCAGGGTTTAGAGCTTAGGGTTAAGGTTTTAGGATTTAGGGCTTAGGGTTCAAGGATTTTTGGTTTAGGGCTTAGGGTTTAGGGTTTGGGGCTTAGGGTTCGGGGTATAGGGTTTAGGGCTTAGATTTCAGGGTTTAGGGTTTAGGGTTTAGCGTTCAGGGCTTCGGGTTTAGGGCTTAGGGTTGAAGGTCCGCATGAAAGCAAGGTACCCGACTGTGGGGGTCTCGTCGATGTAGGATATCCAAAAATACAGCTCCATCGGGCCTTGGGCCTCAGCAACGCCAGCTCAAAGTGGCAAACAATTCTGTGGAAGCTACAGTGTGCTTAACACGAGCTATGCAACATTGCAGACATGTGATGTCATTGCAGTAGGGCATACTGTGCTTCCCTTGACTCAGTCGGAATTGCCTTTATCAGGGAAAGGACAGTATGAGACAGTTCCGTCTGAGCTAGCCTTTTGATGGGTTCCTTCCTTAGAATACGTGGTTTCCAAACCTCAAAAAGTACTTGCAATCTGCAAGATCAGTGCCGTTTTTTGCAGCTTCTGCCTTTGTTTCAGGTTTCGTGGCCCAAATGAATGATAGTAACAACAATACAGCCAATTCAAAACCTACCGGTGTAGAAGTTGGAGATCCCTTTAGCCTGGGACTGCCAGGGGGCTGACAGCCTTCGACCTAATATGGGTAATGTTTTCCCGTTATAATCCTTCTAAAGAAAAAGTACCAGCAGAACTTACTGGTTCTTCGTAGGGAATATGGGAGTATACTGTCATCTATAAGGGTTATATAGGCATTATGCTCCCTTCTTCTGAAAAACAAGCACCAGTAACTAAAGAGACCCCACCCCTTGCAATCCAGGTCATGCGAGAGGTACAGTCGAATCCGGACATGCGCCAGTTTGTGGGGGCTGGTTTGCAGATGCTAGGTTGCTGTTAAGGAACATAAGTTAAGGTACCATGTCAAGGGATCCCCCTTTGTTTGGTCTAGTTGCATCGGTATAGGGTTCAGGGATATATGTGCTCATATTCTGGTAATTTTTTCAAGTTCCTGAAAAGCAGCCCAGGATGAAGCTGCTGTGCCAACTTGGCTTCATCCTCGCCGCCATGTGCCAGGGTGTGCAAAAAATGATTGGAAGCCTGGGCGCTCTTTTCATATTGGCCCTTTGCATTTGGGAAGAGAGGCCCCTTCAAGTCTAGTGAGAGGATATGTACCCCAAGCTCTACTAAAACTTAAATGAATACTTTCGGCCCTAAACCCCACTAAACCCCCGCATGGCTGCTTTTGCCCGAGTTGCTTCCTATACCGGCAGGCTGAACCTCCTCCTCTGGGCCTTCGCGAAGCAGCAGAGGTCCCGGGGAAGCAGCGTGCGACCTCCCTCTGAGCTGGACAGGGCTTTGAAGTCGCTAGGCATCTCTCTCCGTTGAGGGTTTAGGGGTTTAGGGTTTAGGGTTTAGGGTACCTACTACCTCCAATAATGGAGAATCAAATGGAAAAGAACATGGAAAATGAACTGGAAACTGGGGTTATATAGGGGTTCGTTGAGGAGGCGTATCCTCAACGTGTAGAAGCCCAGGGTCTAGAGTTACAGAGTCAGAGATTGTGTTGGAAGTGTTCAGGGCTTTAGGTGCACTTTAAAGGAATGAAGGAGGTATGGGAGTGTAAAGATATCAGATGCACAGACCTTCCTGTTGAAGACTGCTGTACTGGAGTCCTTTTCCCCTGTGCAGGTCTGAAAGTTTGCGGTCTAATTCGAGGAGTGTTGAAAATTCGCTTGGCATGGTGTTGTTGTATCCACAAACAGGGAGAAGGCAATGACAGCTCTCAAACTATGTTCCTCACGTGATTTACGGATTAAGTTTAGGTTGGGGGGGCCTATAGGGGATATATGGAGGGGTATAGGGGGACCTATTTAAGGGATATAGTCCCCATTAAGTAGATAGAATATGGCTTTGGATATATCTAACAAGTTCCCCACATACCCCATATTCCATCTATTTAAGGGGGACTATATACTACAACTTTAGTCCAGGGCGCATTCATTTCCTATCTCAAGGAGGCTTTCGGAGCTGAGAGGGTCAGATCTGGCTCTTAAACAGGAGTTCAAGGGTACAGCATTACAATATATATATATATATGTGTGTATATATGTATATACATATACATCTATATATACACACATTATGGTACCCTAAACCCTTAACCCTATATATATATATATACACACCCCAAATATACTCCTTATATGCCCTATATATGAGGGTGCAAACTCAAAGTTGAAGAGGGATCCTGCCTCAGGGTCTATGAGTTCTAAACCTCAGCAATTTGAGGGGGCGATCCCAACTTTTGGGAAGTTCCCTTCTGTACATAGGAGCTGCTATACTGTTGCCAGCGAAGCGCGGTCTTCCGCGGCTGTGAAGCTTATGACAGGCTCACCCCTGTAGATTGTAGGCTTCATCTGTGTTTATTTAGGGATGCTTGTAATAAGGAGTAAAGTATTTGTTGGGCATACAGCAGGACCTTTTCTGAGAGGCTACAGTACGACCTAATGCTACATGCTGAGAGCTCAATCCCAACCATGACTGCAGAGCACGTCTAGTTCGAGTCTAATTTTGCCGTGAGACTGTCATGCATAATGCTTACGGGCTTCGGCCGTCCTGGGTATGCTAGTCATTGTCAAACATTTTTTGCATGCTGCTGTCGTTTAGTCTTCGTCCTTTACCCACTGCACTGCACCTGAAGCTCTAAACCTGAATCCTTGAAGCCTACACCCAAAACCCTAAACCTTATACCCTGAACTCTTAAAGCCTAAAGCGCGTTGCTCACGCCGCACACGCTCGCTGGCACAGATGTGAATGAGCCGAAGTGCCGCGCAAACAATTGCTTGTCAGTCTAGGAAAAGCATCACGAGTCATAATTCTGTTTTGACTGGTTATGAACATCAGGAGAACTAACTTTCATACCAAAACAGTGTCCGCAGTTGTAGTTCTGATCCAGATCACACTTGTGATGCAGGTTTGAAGGGTAGCGTTGCTGTTCATGTTGCGATGTTAGATGTATATTGGACCTTATTAGATTGGATGTCTCTATTGTTCAATTTGTACTTTCTTTGTTCGATGGTCGCCTGTGATTTTTGTCTTGGGGGTATGTAGGGGACACTACTTTTTTGGAAATCCTTATACGGACATACCACCATCATAGCAGTAACACCGGAGCACTTAAAGAGCTTACGGCCCGCTCTTGCGATGCAAGCTGTCTGAGGCGTGCAGAGTATCTTTTTGGGATACTATGATATTCAATATAGAGTAAGATCATCTCTTCCTTTTGGGTATAGTATTTGTATAAAGAATATAATCTTACTAGGTTCAACCACCAAAAAAATGTTACTCTGCAGGACTTCAAATACCAGCTTGGGGAACGGTAGTCATGTTAGTACTCACGAAATTGATAGCATTCCTGGTGATGGTAACCATAAATCTTGCATGAACATTAAAAGATGCTTCATTAAAGGCAAGTACAGGTTGTATGGAAGACAGATTAGAAGGAAGACCCGAACGGTACCAACCGCTGACCAAGATAGTGAGACCAGTTTCTGCCAACCCGAGGTTTTCGGATAGCTGGAATTGCTGAGAAACATCTACAGCAAGGACCTTTTGTATCTGTTCAGGGACAATCTCAATCAGAACCATCAACCCAAACAATAGCCACCTAAGCCCTAGATCGCAGTTTCCATCTTCTTTCTCATTATCCGTATATATCCCGAATTATTACATACTAGCACACTAAACCTTAAACCCTGAACCCTAATTCCCTAATACCCTAACACCCTAGCACCCTAATACCCTAATACCCTAAACCTTCAGCCTTAAACCCTAAACCCTTAATACCCTACACCCTAAACCTGGACCCTAAACCTTCAGCCCTAAACCCCAAACCCTATACCTTAAATTGCCGAGGCCGGCGCGCCATGAGTTTGAAGAAGTGCTGTCGCGTGGCGTCCAGCAAGTGGTTGGTTCCTGAGGGCGTGGGGGGCACTTTATGTGAGCCACGCTCTAAACTCCTTAAAGGGTTGTATAGGGTTTAGGATTTAGGGTTTAGGGTTCAGAAAATTAGGTTATGAAGGAGGATACGTGGAGTTTAGACTATGGCCCATGTAGCTTTGCTGTAGAGGTTTCGCTGTGTGCTGGTGGCTCGTCGTAAACTGAAACTATTTGACCCACCACTGCTTTAGTAGAAGTCCAGGAGTGCATCCCCATCTTTTGTGATTGAGATCGTGAGTAAGAAACACCTTCCAACGATTTCTCATACCTCAGACCCATGCCGCCTGTGGTCCTAATCAGAAGTACTCCCTGGTAGCCTCTGGTTGAGGGTTTAACAAGTTTTTTGCGTAAGCACTGAGTCTGAGCCCAGTCAGGGAGAGCGATTGTTAAGATCCATTTTCCTTCTCAGATGCTCGCGATGCAGCGCAATAACGCCAGCGCAAAGCTCTTCGCTTGGGGCTGCAGGCGTGGTTTTTAGGGGTGTAGGGCCGTGAAGGGTTTGGGGTTCCCAACTTTGGGAATATTGGAGAATCACATTCTTCCAGATGGCTTAGGAGTTCAGAGAGGGCTTGCGGATGTTTAGGGTTATTTTTTTGAGTTCAGGCTTGTGGGTTCTGGGCTAGCGGCTTTGGGCTTCGGATTAGGGTTTCTCCAAGAGGCATGGGATGTCTCACCTGAGTGATCATGCTTCGTTTTGTCACGTTTGCTGTCATGCTTTTATAGTCCCCCTTAAGTAGATAGAATATGGGGTATATGGGGATCTTATTATGATATACCCAAAGCCATAGTCTATCTAGCTAAGGGAGACTATAATAGAGAAGCCTTGTGGTTATGATCGGCATCAAGTGGTGAGCATCAAGAAGCCTAATGCTTCTGACGTCTAGCTGCAAGATCAGCTGCGGACCGCAATTGCAAGCCATTATTCTTGTTTGCTTTATAACGAACCTGGTAATTGCAGCTGTATGCTGATGTTTGGAAAGCAGTGTTGCTGAGTTTGTTATGTACCAGTTTCAAGAAATCCGTCCCCTTTCTTATCCCAAGGTATCATACTCCTTTTTCTACATCCAGAAAGACCTTCATATGAATTTCATTATCCCCATAACCCTAAGCCTAAGCCCCAAACCCTAAACCCGAAACACTAAACCCTAAACCCTAGTAGGGCCGTCCTTCCCGACCTGGCCAACCAGTTCCGATCAGGGCGCTGTCTGCCTTAGTGGTCCGTCCCCCGGCGCCGGGGGCTCAGTAGATTGCAGTAGGAATAATCTATAATCCCTATATGGTTGGTTGTCAAAGCTACGGTCCCTTTTTGGGTACCCTAAACAATAGGTGCTGTATTATAATAGGGATCCAAAAAGGAAACCTAATTGTGACAACCACCCAAATAATCCTTGTAGAATCCCCACATAATCCATACATACTCCCTGTATACTTCCCCATATCATCCCTGTAGAATCCCCATATAATCCTTACATACTCCCTGTATACTTCCCCGTATCATCCCTGTAGAATCCCCATATAATCCTTACATACTCCCTGGATACTTCCTATATGAGCCCTATAGGGTAGCCCAGTGTCTTGTTGGGGTTTGTTGGAGGTCTCAGGGTTTGCGGTGCAGTATTTAGGGTTCAGGGTTTAGGGTTCAGGGTTTGGTTTTTTTTTGGGGTCTGGGTTTCGTACCTTTTGACGGTCCTTACAAATCAGGTTTGTGGTATTTGGGGGTCTCTATTTGGGTTTGCCATTCAGGGAAACTATCCCTCACTGAATGGCGCCACATCCCGGCTAGAATGAGCCTGCCAAAGGCCCAATTTCCATTTTGTGTCTATGTTCTTTTGCACTTGATTCTCCATTACTGGGCCCTTTGGCATCGTCATATACACCTATATCATTCAGATATAATCCTGTACATGCTAGTTTCCATTCCATTGCCATTTTCTGAATGTGATTCTCCATAAGGCATGACCCTGAACCCTAGGTAAAGGCTAAACCCTACGTAGTAGTTTTCCATTCTCTGCTAAATTCCTTCGCTCCCCATGAACAATTCGCAAAGCATTTGCCCCCTAAACCCTAAAACCCCCAACCCCCAACCCCTAAGCCCCCAATCCCTGAAACCCTAAACCCCCCAAACCCTTAAACCCTAAAACCCTGCACCCTAAAGCCGTTTAAAACCCTAAACCCCTAAACCCTGCTCTAAACACTGTAGCCTTAAACCTGAAACACAGGGATGTTGTCGTGCAGACGTAGAAGAGCCGTCGCAAACAAAAACCCTTTAACCCCAAATCCCTTGACGCAGCCTAAACCCTAAACCCTATACCTTAACTCCCAGAACCCGAAACCCTTGAGGCAGCCATTGGACTCCAGTTCCTGGTCCTGGGCGGATAACGACTACGGCAACAGCATCTGCGCAGGTGGAGACCTCAAAGAGCAAACAAACCGCTAGAGGTTCAGGGTTTAGGGTTTAGGGTGGTGAATGAGTAGGGAACAGGGGAATATAATCCCGAAATAATCCCTATATACCCTATTCCCTTATAACCTGCTACCCCCCAGTAAGCCTCTGTCAATGTAGGAAATCTTGCACCACTACGGATCCCCAAAATTGTGTAACTGTGCGGTGTACTCGTGGGATGTTTAAATTGGTGCAAGATTTCTTCCATGCACCCTAGGTCCAAAATGGTTCTTCCTGGCACACTGCTTTCTTCACTACTGAGTCAGCTGATGGGTTTTTGTAGTCGTCGTCCGTGTTGTTGCCACATCGTCGTTGCCGTCGTCGTCCTGGTCGTGGTCGCGGTCTTGTTCGCGGTCGCGGTCGGGGTCGTGGCCGTGTCGTGGTCGTTGTGGTGGTCGTCGTCGCCGTGGCTGCTGCTGCTGCTGCTGCTGCTGCTGCTGCTGTTTTTGTTTCGCTTTTTAGGTTTCTCTTTTTTGCTCATGGTTCCTGGCCTTTAGCCAACGTATGTTTTCTGTTCGTTATGTTATGTTGTGTTCATTGCCATAAATGTGGTCGTGGTTGCCTTAGTTTAAGTAGCCAGCATTGGTTCGTTGCTTGCGCTTCCGGTCCTGATTGTTCTGAGAAGGTTGCCTGCTGTCAACAGATTTGTTTGCATGTTGGACCGAGTTTAGGCGGGCTACGTCTGCAAAGGAAGCGCAAACTTGTGGCACATTCCTGCCCGGCAGGTAGCAACAGCAACTGCAATGCCAGCCAGCCAGTCTGCGACTTAGAAGCTGGTGCCCATGACCAGGGCAGGAGATCAGATGTTGTCCTATGCTATCACAGCAGTCAGGCATGGTTGTCAAGTTTGTGATTGGCTTCCTATGAGCAAGCTTGAGTGGACAGCCGCAGCGTAGTGGGCCCGCCGCTCTCCGCTGTCTCTTGATTTCTGAGCCTTGCCCCGCTGAGACGCTTGACAAGATGTTCATGCTCCTGGAGAACAGCAAAGCAGCGGCTGCAAGAGAAGGTTCGTGTTTGGATGTAGGGTTCAGGCTTTCCATCGGCTTGCATGCTGCAAGCTGTGAGACCGACATCTTGGTTGAGTATGGTTAAGGTGACGTGGGGTTTCTTTCCATCATTAGGTCCGTTTGGGCTTTGAGAAGATATCTTGATTGCAACTGGTATCGATAAGATTCGATAAAGTACGTACTGAAAAAATCATGTGGTCCTCCGATGCTGACACAGGACTGCCGCGATTCGGCGAGGTGCACCCGCCACAATGTTTTGCAGGGTTGGAGTTGGGTCGGTAGAGCTGTCAAGTATCAACGTTGAAGGCGGGCCATACAAGTGCTACAGCGGGCTTCTTGTTAGCTTGGATTTCCTATGCAAGATTTACTATGGGTCAAGGACGATCGAATTTTGGGGCTGCGGTCACCCAATCGAAGCATGGTCCCCTGTACACTCTCTGCGCTGGACCTCTGGTAAGGGTCCATGAAGATAAATCTGCGTCATCGCTGTTTGTGCATTCTGCTGTACATAAGGTCAATAAGATTTCCCGAGCAGTTGCTCAATAGCAAGAACTGAACCGTGCAAAACGTTTATGCTGTGAGCTTCTGGGGTGTTGTCAGCTGAAAACATCTGAAAACTCTTGACCAAGAACTTCTCTTGCTCATGGTGCGCTCCACAAGGAAGGTGACTGCTTGCGTTGTTTTGGCAGCTGTGCTGGCACGCGGACTCTCCCCAGCTCTGGATTCGTGCCGGGGCCGCTTCGCGGAACTGCTGCCCCGGTGGCTGCGGCCTCGGTGGCCGCAACAAGGTTGGCTCCGGACGGGTTTGCTGACGAGATCGGTGATGCTGCCAAGAAGCGCGATGATGCGTCCTATGATTTTGCGAAGGAAGTAGACTGGAACAACGGTATCCTTTTGCCGCCCCCCGGCAAGTTCCAACCCCTCCAGGCCCTGAAGGCAATTCACAAGATGATGCTTTGTCTTCATGTGACGTGGAGCTTCAATTTGCAGCAAGTGCTGGCGGGAGACAGACGCATAGCGGGCTCGAGGCATATTCGCGGAGAGCAGCTGAGGATTGAGATGGGGGGTGCTGTTGACCCCAAATTGTTGACAGCTGCCGAGGCGCATCGCAAAGGAGCTTGGAGCATGTACACCCATGCGTTTCTTCAAACAATATCTATAGTTCAGGCTGCCGCGCCGGTTTTGTTACAAATTGTCACCCTGTCACTGAGGCCTTTAACTCGATATCTGGTCCCGACGGCGTGGGGTCCCGAGCGGATTGGGACGTTGTGAAAGGGGGCCCTGGGCCGTGCGGTGTGGTGGCTTCAGTTCCCAAGACAAAGTGATGGCCGCGTACAATTCCAATTCCGTCAAGGTCCCCAGACTCTGCCAGAATATAGCGGGCTTTTACACTCGTACACCCAGCTGACGCATCCTTGTTCTCCAACAGCCCTATTGTTGATGGGCACGCTACAGCGCGAACGCTTGGAGGCCTGTCTTTATTCTGATGTTTTTTGTTGCGTTCTAAAACCCCTGGGCAGTCCAGCAGAGGCTTGGATTCGCTTCAACGCAGCGGTTGGTTTTGGGGCACCGCTTTCATCTGGAACTCTTGGGCCTGAAAGCAGCCAAACAGACCTAAACATGTCTAAGTAAGATTACTGGTCAACAAACACTGATTCCGGCGCTGGTGTGGGGGTGTCACCAACAGCGAATTTCGGGTTTGGGAGCCTGGGTATTCAAGAGGATTGATATTTGTTTGGGGGGGCTCCCTACAGCAAACCCGATTCAGCACTCAGTGCTACGTGGACCCGCAAGTGCCTCAAACCTTGCAAGCTCTGAGCCTGCAAGCGCGCCATACGACATCACAGACCTTGGAGCGCCCGCCTACATGAAGTCTTAGCTCAAAGGAGCCGATTCCGAGAAGGCTTACGAGGGCTTGCTGAGTTCAAGGATGTCGTCGCCAAGAACCAAAATTGCAACTGCAGGCCCTCCTGTAAAGGCACCTTTTGGAGATGCCGTCGGCACTGCCGCTCGGGCGCTGTTGACTGCATCCTACCCCTTCCTTTGCGAATAGACTGGCTCAGCGACGTCTATTTGAAGCCCGCCCCAGGTCCTGAAGTCCATTGACAAGATATGTGTTGTAGGCGCGCAGATGGATAATAACTTTTTCAGGGCTGCAGCCGAGGCCCATCACAAGGCCATTGGCAGCATTGGTTCTAAATTGGTGACGCCCGCTGCAGACTACGAGGCCGTGAGTGCTGCCTTTGGCCGCACTGTTGCTTCGGTGCCAACGGCCACGTTATGGACGTCTACAGCTCGCTGGCAGGCGTCCCCAAAAATATGTTCTCGCAGGTGAACACATGCCACGCGGTAGCTGCCGCCAAGGGCTTCTACACCTTCAAGGATGCGGTAGCATCAGCTCAGCGATGAAGCAAAGGGCATGGCCCTGTCGGGCCAAGGTTTCACCGCTCTCTCTTAATATCATTTGTTTTTGCGGCCTGACCTCTGCCAGGACATGCCAGATATGCCTTCAAATTTTCTTAAGCCAGACTTGTACAGGCCACTTTCAAAGTGCCCGCACATGGATACGAGACCAACGATTTAGTCTTAGTAAGAAATCGGCCGCTTGCACTGCTCCAGTCCCAGGTGTTCCTACGCTTTGTGTGCACCGCGGCAGCTACGACGCTAACAGATTGTCAAGCTGCCCATGCAACCGCCTACCCCCTAATTGTTTCTTAGTTCCAACGCGTAGACGCACTAGATAAGATAGTGTGGGGTTGTAGCAATGCTATGTCCAGGCCTTGGGGGTCTGAGTTTTGAGTTCTGAGGGGTTGCGGCAGACGCAGATCCTGAACACGCACCACTGGGCAGGTGCCGATGTGGCTGTTCATCATACGCCAGTTCCTGATTCTCGTCCCGCGGGAGGAAGTGAAGGCACTCACAGGGACAACAAAATTTGCAGCGACAGTTATGCTTGTGAATGAATGCAGTACAGTCTCAGTGTTCATGGCAATCAGTGGTCGAGATATTGAAGAGCCCCGTTGTGTTGGGATCCTGGGTATTCCGAGTTCAATTGGCGGGCAACTGAAGGCAAACTCATGGCATACCATAGTTTGACGAAGTTAAGCAGGCCAGCTATCCCCAAATAATGTCTAAATACAATGGTGCCAGATTGGGGGGGTTGTTTGGGTCTGTTATGAAGGGGACGGGATTCATACGAAACCAGACCAGGCCCAGAGAGCTAAGTGGATGGAATCTGGGAGATCGTGAGGCCCATACCCCTTATTCTACCAGTGAGAGGCCGCCTCTACCCTAAACTGTAAACACTAAACCTTACACCCAACATTCCGTATGATATGATCCTTGAAGGTTTGGCATTTATGCGTGTTAGGTCTTGTACAAGGTTCCCTACAGGTAAGACCATTTGGGGCTTGCTGGGGGCAGGGGCGAAGGTTTGTGATCCCAGAAGGAGGGTCCAAGAACCGTAAGGTAATCCCCAAAACCCCTAAACCAGTAAACCTCAACCCCAAATCCCCATGCTCTAAACGCTATACTCCCTTAACTCCTCCAATGCCGAGCCATCCGGCTGCAGGAGCCCAGTGGCAAACCTTCCAACTTGTCCGTCGGCCCTGTGCCGATAGCTCCAGGGGCCTGGGCCCAGGTGATGTAGGGCTATGGAGGGTTATGTGGGAATGTATAGGGGGGTATGACGGACAAGAGCACGGAAACGACTGTTTAGGGTTTTAGGGTTTAGGGTTCTAGAGGAATCCTTACTTGTTCATTACTTATTCCTTTCAGTTTTGATTAGATTGCAATGTTCCAGGTTTTATGTTAGCATCGTATGTTACAATTTTTGGTTTCTTTCATGTCTTTAGTGTTTGGGAATGAGGTGTTTAGGGTTTTAGGGGTTTAGGGTGAAAGATATTCCAGCCTTCCATGGATTCCACCACAACCAACACTGCCGCCGCAGCTGTTGCTGCTAGTCGTAGCGGTGCTAGTACCAGTATTCTTGCTAGTACTACGGCAATGCAAAAATCTTGCGCCACTCAGGATCCCCAAAATACTGTTACTACCATGATTGGGCTATAGGGTGGGGCAAGATTTTCGCCTTCCACAGCAGTACCAGGACTAGTTCTGCTTTGGCTTTCCCAGATCCAATTTTGCTGATGCGAGCTCCAGGCCCTCCGCGAAGCGGGAACGTGTGCCGTGGCAACGCTGCCGCTGTCTAAGTTGCGGGAGGTTTGCAGGTTGTTGTTCCCTTAAGACCGTTAGTTTTTCAGGGACTTCTCCAGGTTCAAGACAGGTAGCTTCACCCCTGCTTGAAATTCTTGCTTCCCAGGTACTGTTGAAGGCCTTTGCCAGGGCATGGCGTGCTGTCACCCTGGTTCTTTAATATCATAGATTACCAAAGTCTACAAGCGAGTTGGTAGTAAACACATGTATTGCGGAGGCCGGATGTGTGAGTACACGGAGTCCTAGTAGTTTCAATTAATGCGCACATATATGAGAGAGCTTCGTCGTATTGCCGACAGTTCCTATTCGGATAGGCAATAAGGCCTGGGAATTTCAATTGCTCATGCTGCCTTCCCGGTCGTTGCAGAGAATTGCAGGCTCCGGGTATGTCTTGCGCCAGAATTCGGAAGCATTGGACGAGTTGGGAAGCGAAGATCCCCTATACCCCTGTTCAACAGTACTGCCAATTTTCACTATAACAGCTTTGAGAGATGGTAGTTTACATAACTAAGGGGACCCTAACATGGACCCCTAAATGGTAGTTTCCCAAAGTAGGTGGACCCCAATATAGACCCAAATGTACTATGGTCCTTACTATAGGGACCCCCCAAAAAGGGACCCCCAATTTTGGGAAACCCCTATCCCTATAAACCCCT